GAACGCAGTTGATCTCACCCTTTTTTTGGTGAAAGATGTGGTCACGGTGGTGCAGCCAAGTCAGACGTCACACTGCTGACATATGTTTGGCTCTAAATTCCACAGATTTCAGCCAATCTGCACCCAATTCGCTATGGTCCTAATCCACACTACTACAGCCAAAATGCAGTCAAAATTTTGGAGGGTGTGGCCTAATTCCTCCACAGCACCCCCTACAATTATTTWAAAAAATTTGCCCCAAGCAATGCTTGGACCTGGAATCATGAAAATTGGTACACATGTGTCTCAGGACCTAGAAATAGGTCTCAGGACCTAAAAATAAATTCTTGGAGTCATGGTCCAAACCCCACCGGAAGTCGTCTGTCGTGGATCAAAGCTGCCAATTTGTCTATWTTCTTGCATATGTATCTTAGCTAACTCCCCCTATAGCTTTGAACATGAGAGTCCACATGCTGCATGCTTCTCTCAACACTGGCTGGCTGGTAGCAGAAGGGTGTGGGTGTGGCAGAGTGGCAATTGCTGATGCCACACCATTTGTACACAGTTAGCTCTAAATCACACATTCAGGATCAGATCTGCACCAAATTTGGTGTGCATCATCAGGGAGACCTACTAAACAAACTAGATACCGCATAGCGTTGACATAATGACCCCCGCACGCAGAAATGCACCAGAACTAAGTTGGTGGGCCTTTTCAGAGCTAAACAACAGAAGAATTCTGAAGCTCCGAACAGTTTCTGAGTTATAAGCATTTTTGCATGTTCAGACACCCCTTTTTCAGATAAATTGGGGGTCCGGGTGGGTGGTGGGGGGCACTGATTGTGGGCCTGATGGATAGAGCTTCATCAGAGCTAAACAACAAAAGAAATCTGAAGCTTCTATGTTGAACAGTTTCTGAGTTATGAGCGTTTTTGCATGTCCATACACCCCCACTTTGAAAGGAGCCCCTTCCTCAAATATGGGGTCTATTGTAAAACCGTTGGCTGGCGCAGTGTAGGTCAGACTCAACTACAGTCCTGCCAAATTTCTTGTTGATTGGTGCAGCCGTTTTTGTGCTACAGTTGACCAAAAATCACTGAAAAAATAAATAAATAAAAAGTACGAAAACAATATGACTCCCGCTTACACTTCGCGTGCGGGGGTCATAATAAATGTTTAGTTTGATGTGATCACTTTAGCCCTGCCCACTTAGCACACAGTTGACTCTTAATCACATGAATCAATCTGCACCAAGTTTTGCGTGCATCATATGGGAGACATGCTCAACACGTTTATGTAGTAAATGTGTTGTCCATCAGTTCACCTTATGAGATTAATTAAATAATGAAGGCCTGTGATAATTCAAACAAAACTGCTACCAGTTGGTCTCTACTGAATGGCGACGGGGGACATCAGTGATGGCTGGCGTTGAGTTCTATCTTGTTCAAATTGATGTGTCAGTATGAAAAGCACAATCCTAAAGAAAGGTAAATGTTGTTTTTAAGTTAGATTTTTTTTTATAAAACACAATACAATACTATATATAATGTATGTATAAGAGAGTCCTTCCTCGATCAATTTGGGGGTCTCAGACAGAAAAACATTGAAGACCCCTGGTATATATGTATGTTTTACTTTGGGGAATTTTTTTTTAATTACCAAGAGAGATATACACAGCCAGAACACTTTGGTGACCTTTGGTTCTGGTTACATTTAGTCAACCCATTAGCTTTTCAGATGGAAATACTCTGTTTCTCCAAACTGAGGCTATTTCCAACAGGTAAGATATTAACTTTTCATTGCTTTTCTTCAAAACTGCACTTCAAAATGGGCAATGTAACCCCTCAAAGTGAGATCTGAGTCTTCTAATGTTGTGTGTGTGAAAGCTTGGGGAATCTCTGTCCTCTCTATAGCTCCAATAAGTCAAGTTGATGTCAATACCCTGGCCTTTAAAAATTGATGAGGGTGATCACCTCACTCATAGTGAGACCATTTCTGAGCGGCAGCTCTTCCTGTGAGGTGATTCTCATCCATAAGTCATGCCTCACATTTAGGATGCATTACCCTGAATATCACTTCAGGACTATCAGGTCTGCCATGTTTGGACCGTGTCCTCAGACGTATGATTGAGAGAAACTATTAGACTTAGATCATTCACAGATATTACTGCACACCCCAATGCTTTTCTGTCGGGTTTACCTTTAAGCAGAAATAAATCTGACAGTTTCATGGCTGATATGAAGCAATGGGCTCATCGTGTCTCTGGAAATTCATGCTCTGCAATATTTCACATGTGGGTCAGATCTTCAACACAAAGATAAGATCTTGTAATTCTGGACATGGCAAATGAAAATACGGCCAATTTAGACCAGTCTGGTTAAATTCTGTCCTGTTGACGTGGAAATGTCACTGGGCTCCATTAATTCTTTTAGAGGCACATTCCTGTCTCGAGGCCCTGGAGACACAAAGCTGTGGAACTCCCCAGAGGACAGTGACCTGGAGGACAGACTCACGCATGCCAGCTGGACACCCAACCCCTCCCACATACATAGACACACCCCCACCCCCAACAAATGCTAACTCACAGGACCATTTATGTCGTAATGATATTTTTTTTATAATGTTGATCACAATACAGCAGCTTTTCTCCTTCAGTAAATTAAATTTATGAGTAAAATGAAATTAATTGCATGATTGGACATTTTTTGTCATGTAAAAGTTATTTTGCCTACATTTGTTATCACCAGTTCCCGCAAATGTGGCCAATATTGTGTGTGTGTGTGTTTGTGTGTGTGTGTGCGTGCGTGCGTGCGTGCGTGCGTGCGTGCGTGCGT